CCTTTATTCACTGATTCTCAATGGCAATTTATAAACATCTGTGTCCTTTCCGAATGATTCTCGCTTATATGTTCCCTGAAAATGCAACTTTAATAATTTTTTTTTTTGCTTATTGCAAGAGTAAAGGGACGTAGTGAGTTATGAACGAAATATTGGCTGACTGGCTGATAGTAAGATTTGGTTTTAGGTTAAAAAATTGTGAATTCCTGCATCTTTTGCTTCGAGTAGATCTCAAAATCTATTAAAATTACAGCTGCGCTTACTTCAAAAAAAATTTCAAACTTACACAACTTACAACATTTATTTTTCCCTGATCGAAACACTCGCAACATTTCGCATTTCACGTTGATTTACTGAACATTTGAGTGAGACGGAGCTACATCTAAAGGATTTTATGTGATTATAACTTATTTTCCTATTCACTATATAAATTTGTAAGTGAGCGAATATTGAATATATTTTTTTAGAGTTCCTCTCATTCTCAAATCTCTTTCTCATTCGTATGTATATGATATGGAGATAGAGGGGATTTATGGCGAGGGGTTTGAATACATCTCATTGCTATTGTGTATTGTACCATGTGTATCGATTTCAATAAGCATTTATGAAAGAAAAATGAATAAAAATGAAAGGAAAGAAAATTGATATCGATTAGGATGAAATTGTTTTATGTATTATATTTTTACTACGTTTTTCTTAACTTGCTTTCTTATCTGTTTATCTGTTTATCTGTTTATCTGTTTATCTGTTTGTCGAGGGCAAATCTTGTAATCGATTTTTCGACCACTTCTACTGCTCCAATCGAGCTAAAATTTTTAATGCACACGTATTCCCGGTGACAATACAATATTTTAACACTTTGGAAACACAAAAATGCTTAATTTTAGTACAATTTATGTAAAAGTTTTTTATTTGGGAAAAAATCCGATGTCAATGATATAAAATTTTGATTTGTATTAAATATTATACATGTGATGCTCTAAAGTCATTTATATGATTCATTATAGTTTAATTAATATTACAAATTATTAATTATACCATAAATTTGAGCAGCTAAAGATATTCTGGTAAGACAAAAAAATTGACATGTAATTTTTTCATGAATATTCGTAAGTGAAAATTTGAATTTTCAAAAAAACCGATAAGCACAAGTCCGTTACGAATTAATGCAAAATAACTATTAATATGCGATGTGCATTTAACACACATAGTTTGAGCATAAATTTATGCTGTTTTAAATGTATTGCATTATTTATAACACTTCACCAACTTAATTAAATTGACTTTTCTTTTTATTAACGGCTTGACGTATTTTTGCATAACATATAAATGATATTCATTGAATTTAAATTTGAAAATCCGTTATAAATACGTTACATATGTGATTTGCATCTTTATAGTAAGAATCCACACGTTATGAAGTAGAAATGGTACAGATAAACACAAAATCTTTACGAGTGATTTTTAATGTACTTTACTATTGAATGCTTTAAAAAAATTAAATTTTATAAAACGAATGAAAAATTTTGAAAGTCGTTACTAAGTTCCCATTGAAAACTGGTAATTTATAAACAGTTGAACGTAACGGAGTGAAACCAAGTGGAGTTCAACACACCTGTAACCTATAAACCTACTGTAATCTATAAACAGTTGAACGTAACGAAGTGCAACGAAGTGAAGTTCAACACACCTGTAACCTATGAACCTACTGTAATCTATAAACAGTTGAACGTAACGAAGTGCAACGAAGTGGAGTTACACACACCTGTAACCTATGAACCTACTGTAATCTATAAACAGTTGAACGTAACGAAGTGAAACGAAGTGGAGTTCAACACACCTGTAACCTATAAACCTACTGTAATCTATAAACAGTTGAACGTAACGAAGTGAAACGAAGTGGAGTTCAACACACCTGTAACCTATAAACCTACTGTAATCTATAAACAGTTGAACGTAACGAAGTGCAACGAAGTGAAGTTCAACACACCTGTAACCTATGAACCTACTGTAATCTATAAACAGTTGAACGTAACGAAGTGCAACGAAGTGGAGTTACACACACCTGTAACCTATGAACCTACTGTAATCTATAAACAGTTGAACGTAACGAAGTGTAACGAAGTGAAGTTCAACACACCTGTAACCTATAAACCTACTGTAATCTATAAACAGTTGAACGTAACGAAGTGAAACGAAGTGGAGTTCAACACACCTGTAACCTATAAACCTACTGTAATCTATAAACAGTTGAACGTAACGAAGTGTAACGAAGTGAAGTTCAACACACCTGTAACCTATAAACCTACTGTAATCTATAAACAGTTGAACGTAACGAAGTGAAGTTCAACACACCTGTAACCTATAAACCTACTGTAATCTATAAACAGTTGAACGTAACGAAGTGCAACGAAGTGAAGTTCAACACACCTGTAACCTATAAACCTACTGTAATCTATAAACAGTTGAACGTAACGAAGTGCAACGAAGTGAAGTTCAACACACCTGTAACCTATGAACCTACTGTAATCTATAAACAGTTGAACGTAACGAAGTGCAACGAAGTGGAGTTACACACACCTGTAACCTATGAACCTACTGTAATCTATAAACAGTTGAACGTAACGAAGTGCAACGAAGTGAAGTTCAACACACCTGTAACCTATAAACCTACTGTAATCTATAAACAGTTGAACGTAACGAAGTGCAACGAAGTGGAGTTACACACACCTGTAACCTATGAACCTACTGTAATCTATAAACAGTTGAACGTAACGAAGTGCAACGAAGTGAAGTTCAACACACCTGTAACCTATAAACCTACTGTAATCTATAAACAGTTGAACGTAACGAAGTGTAACGAAGTGAAGTTCAACACACCTGTAACCTATAAACCTACTGTAATCTATAAACAGTTGAACGTAACGAAGTGAAGTTCAACACACCTGTAACCTATAAACCTACTGTAATCTATAAACAGTTGAACGTAACGAAGTGCAACGAAGTGAAGTTCAACACACCTGTAACCTATAAACCTACTGTAATCTATAAACAGTTGAACGTAACGAAGTGCAACGAAGTGAAGTTCAACACACCTGTAACCTATAAACCTACTGTAATCTATAAACAGTTGAACGAAACGGAGTGAAACGGAGTGGAGTTCAACACACCTGTAACCTATAAACCTACTGTAATCTATAAACAGTTGAACGAAACGGAGTGAAACGGAGTGAAGTTCAACACACCTGTAACCTATAAACCTACTGTAATCTATAAACAGTTGAACGAAACGGAGTGAAGTTCAACACACCTGTAACCTATAAACCTACTGTAATCTATAAACAGTTGAACGTAACGAAGTGAAACGAAGTGGAGTTCAACACACCTGTAACCTATGAACCTACTGTAATCTATAAACAGTTGAACGTAACGAAGTGCAACGAAGTGGAGTTCAACACACCTGTAACCTATAAACCTACTGTAATCTATAAACAGTTGAACGTAACGAAGTGCAACGAAGTGAAGTTCAACACACCTGTAACCTATAAACCTACTGTAATCTATAAACAGTTGAACGTAACGAAGTGCAACGAAGTGAAGTTCAACACACCTGTAACCTATGAACCCCCTATAATCTTTATTTCTCTATTTCATTAGAATAAGACTAAAAAGTTGAAAATAAAATACTTTATAAAAAAAACTTTTTAAAAAAACTACGTTTTTCGCGTAGACTAAAAAGTAGAAAATAACTTTTATTCTTGGTTGTAAAGAATTTGGTTTTAAATTTTCAGATTATATTTAATAAATTTTTATATCCTAGTCAATATTGTTCACAAAGTTTCGAATAAGTGCATTTTGATCTTATCGTATAACTCAACAACTTAAAAACGTGGGCGCATTATAAGAGGAGAAATAAGTTTATGTGAAATCAATACTTTATGATAAACTTAAATTAATGCGCCCACGTTTTTAAGTTGTTGAGTTATACGATAAGATCAAAATGCACTTATTCGAAACTTTGTGAACAATATTGACTAGGATATAAAAATTTATTAAATATAATCTGAAAATTTAAAACCAAATTCTTTACAACCAAGAATAAAAGTTATTTTCTACTTTTTAGTCTACGCGAAAAACGTAGTTTTTTTAAAAAGTTTTTTTTATAAAGTATTTTGTAAGTTCGTAATTCCATTAAATATGATACTTATCAGACTCGTCTGAAGTGATTAAGAATAGAAATTTTATCTTGTGAAGATATGAAATCATAGTTTTGAATGTTTTGAATGTAGCCACAGATATGACTTAGGGTTTAGTCTAGTGTTTAATCCTAGTGCCAACTAAAAGGGTTTATTAGTTTGGCGTCTTTGAGAGAAAGGTCTTAAGAATCATACTTAGACCATAAATAGAAGGAGACCTTTTTAAGAGCAGGAGCAACGCAGAATTATATCAGTTATTCAAGGAAGTTGGTATTTTGAAGCGGATCAAGGTCAAAAGATTCAGTAGACCTGAAGAAGCTCCAATTAACAAAATCTTTAAGTTTCATTATGTAGACGGACGACCAAAGAATTTCTGGAAGGAAGTTGTTGACAGAGACAGCAAATCATTTGGTACTAGCGATTGGAAGAGAGTAGCCAGCCACAATCTTTTTCAAACGCAAGCTAAGGAAAACTATTGATCACAATTGATGTAAAGCCAGTGATGTATGTTTGCATGTACTGGTCTACCACAAGAATGCCAAGAAGCCAACCCCTAGTCGTTTAGTTATAAATAGGATAATACATTTAGTAAAATTCTAGAAAAACTATGAGTTGGAGACAATCTGAGATAAACAACTTGTTTAGTCAAACAATTTTATAAAATCATAGTTTTTTAATTATTCTAGCATCATTCATTTCCTCTTCGACAGTAAGATTGTAAACACACAGTTAAAATTAATTCAGTATTTAAACTTGTCAATCTAATTGAAAAGTAGTTAAATATAGCTCGAGAAGATATCAACAATGATGAAATTATTCCTGTAAGTATTAATGGAAAATTCAAATTTTAGTTCTTATTTTACTTTTCATTTCATTTCATTTCCACCAGTTTAGTCACGATAATCAATTCATTATTTCATGTCGGTCTTTCAAAAAATATCGATTGCTTATTTCGAGTTGAGAATCGAAATATTATGGGATCAGCATACACATGTAAAGTTGATAATAAGCTTAATATAATTTCTCAAAGCACTGCACTTGTAAAATCTGTAGCAGGTGATCATAAGAATGGAAAGAATAATGACGATGTTAAGGCTCTTTGCGTGGACAATAGAAATACTCTTTACTTTCCAAAAGGTTTAGAAAAACTGTTTAAAAATTTGAGGAGAATTCGGATTGCTTATGGTCGACTTAAAGAAATTAGTCAAGCTGATTTTCAACCATTTCCTTGGTTAATGGAGCTTGCATTGCATGAAAATGATATTAGAGTTTTAGAAAATGGAATTTTCGAACGTAACCTCAATTTAGCATACATTAATCTAGTAGATAATAAGATTACTCATGTTGGGAATAAGGTATTTGATCATTTGTCTAAAATGACTACACTGCATATTACTAAAAATGACTGTTTAAGCAAAACCCCATTGAATAATTCGATGACAATCAAGGAAATTCAAAAAATTGTTGAAAAAAACTGCAAAAACTCTGAATTTTTAAAGTTGGAGAACACTTTGATAACCCTTGAAGAAGAACATCGATTTGTCAATAATGAAACCTTCCAAAATTTCACATCAAAAGTGGAAAAATTCAAAGAGGATCTTCAAAATTCAATTTTCTCAGACCTAATGTCATTAAGTGAAAGGACCAGCGATTTAAATCAACAAGAAAACTTGAGTTTTTGGCTCCTTAAAGATAAAGTTGAATATTCAGAAAGAACTATAAATGACCTAATCCAACAGAATCAAAACTCAAAAGTGCAAGTGATCCCTAAGTGGATACAGATCGTTATATTGTTTAGTTCAATCTTTCAGATGATAGTTTCTTTGCTGGTTTTGATTATAATATGGCTTAAAAAATAAATTAATAATTATATATTAGTAAAGTTTCTAAAATTAAAGGTTTGTAATTATTTATAATAAAAACTACAACATAATCAAGAATGTTACTCATTTTATGGCTCATCTACATTTTGGTGATGCAAAATAAATAAACTTTTAATTTGAACGTATTCATAATTTTAGTAGGGGCTGTTCACTTATTACGTAACGCGAAAAAATGACTTTTTAGACCCCCCCCCTCGTAATTTGTATGAAAAAAAAATTTCCTTGTTTGAACCGTAACAAAATCTTAGACCCCCCTCCCCCCTAAAAGCGTTACGTAATAAGTGAATGGCCCCGTACAAACCTGAATGTTTCAATCAAGTCCTCAAAGAATCAAAGCTTAAAACTTCTCTTACTACCCCACTGGAGCCCTAGCCAATCAAAAACTAAAATGAATTATCACAAATGAGTTAATCTGTCAAGCAAGATGCTTTATCAAGAATGTAAAGTCATTTATAATTCATTATTCGAACTAGAGGCATCACAAGTTTTTAACAATAAAATATTATAGTTAAAAATGATTTTCAGATATTTATTTTTGTGAGTATTGAAAACTTGATCCTTAATTTTCATTCAAAAACTATAAAAACATTTTTTTAATAAATAATCCACAGAATCTTTTTGCTAATTTGCTTTCTTGATTTAACAAATTTGGTTCATATTGACTGCACCTACACTATAAAAATTCGTAAAATATTAGGCAACACCTACAATTGTGAAACTAAGAATAATCTCGATATAACATCTTCAGAGTCATCAATCATCAGTTCTGTAACTGGTGTACATGAAGAAGGAAAGACAATAAATGATGTGACAACTTTTGGTGCTAAGAATAAAAAAATTTCAAGCTTCCCAAAAGATTTAGAAAAGTTCTTTAAAAATCTTGAAAGAATTAGAATATCTGAAGGGCGTTTAAAAGAGATTTTTTATGATGATTTAATGCCGTTTCCATTATTAACAGAACTAAGCTTAAAAGAAAATGATATAGAGATCGTGGAAGATGGAAGCTTTGCTTACAATCCAAAATTGGAATATTTAAATTTTGAAAACAATAAGATTGTTCATTTTGGTGCTAATGTATTTAATCATTTAATTAAAATGAAGATATTAAATCTTAGTGGAAATACTTGCGTCGAAATTAGTGCTTCAAATTCTATTGCAGTAGAGAAACTTATTCGTCAGATTAAAGATACTTGTAAAAATTCAGAATTTTTGGAATTGGAGAAAAATTTGACAAAGTTTGAGTTTAAGCTTCGATACATAAAATCGTCAAGTTTTGAAAATTTCATAAATGAAGTTGAAACTTTTAAAACAAGCTCCTTAAAATTTAAGAACCTTTCATCCATAAGTAATAGAATTGATGACTTGTATGAAAAGAAAGGGAGAAGCTATTGGATATTAAATGATGAAATCAGTCATACAAAGATGACAATAAGTGAATTAAAGGCACAGTTGAGTCAACAAAAAATAAGTATTATGTCAGATAAGAATAGTAATTTGATGTTCGTAATTGTAGGAATAAGTTCATTTATTCAAATTGCTATTCTATTAATTATTTTGACCATACTTTGCAATAAAAAGTTTAAATAAGTTGTAGTAGTTGTGCTTTAGTTGTGAGATTATGAACCAAGCAAGGAATTTTAAAACAGATCTTATCAAGTAATGTGTTTGGTGATTAATTTACCTCCATTAAACTCCATTTAAACCTCATCTTACTCTTGAAAATTATGAAAAATTAATCATTAAGCATCTGCTTTAATTTAATTAATTCTCGCTAATTCGCATCAAAACATAAGAACATTTCCTTTCTTTACATAATCTTCAATGATAAATGATCGACGAGAAAAATATTCTTTTTGTTCTGAAATAATTATATCACTTCCATAATCCATGTACTGTGTTGTATATGCTTATCATACTTTACACAAATTATGAGTAAATCTAATTTAAATTTAATAAGATTAAGTCATAATGTGAGTCTAATTGACAAATGACCATGATTCATCATCCTACACAGGATGTAATGTTATTAATATCATTTTATTTTATTATTGTAGATTATTGAGAGTTAAGAATGTTCAGTCTTGAGTGGGTTTTCGTGGAAGATACTCAATTTTTAAGGATGGCAATGTATAGCTCCATGCCTATAGCGTTGTCTTTAAAGCAAAATAAAATAAACTTCGAGAACCTTTTAATTCTTTTATCACTCATCAAAACATGCAAGACTCAATAATATTATATTATTAACGGACATTACATAATAATAATATGCTCCTGTGTACTTCTAACATAACTTTCGCATTTGAAAGCTCAATTACTTCACACGAGCAATTACTTTAATATAATCATGATTAAAATGCACTATGTGTGTAATAATTTTAAGTATTCAAGCAGTTAAGCTTTGATTGTGGCGCGGTAAAATCCAAAATAATGAATCTAAAGGCAATAGCCAAAAAACTTACATCTAGTCGAAAATACTTTAAACAAAAGAAATTTTTTAATGCAAAAAACTTTAAAGTTTCAATTTGGTGTGTCGCGTACACAGCATCGTTTTTTGGACTTGCAGTTTATGTACAGCAAGCATATTTCAAGTGGAATATTGATCCAGACATTGGTATCAACCCAAAGCTTATTTCCAGCAATGATATTCCAGCACTAGCTCTGACTGTTTGCTCACCTGTTGCCATACAAGATGGATTTGTCAATTCCCTTGAATATTTTCTACAGTATATAAACTTTGCTGATGATGGCAGAAAGAAAGTAGCACCAAAGAAACTAACGATAAAGGAGAAAAATTATCTTGCAGCCGTGTCTCAAGCCTGTGGAAGCTATTTCACATCTTATGGACTAGAAAATGATACAATGGGACGAGATGAAAAAGACATCATAAAGCTTTTAAATGAAGCTAGTGTAAGAATAAATGACACATTTTTTCTGTGTGTGAAACAACTTGATAAAGTCAACTGCGAAGATGTCTTGAAACTTATTTTGACGCATTATGGCTTCTGCTACACCCACAACATGATCGATTTTTATGAGATTTTCAATGAAGATGTCATAAGCTCTGATTTTGATTCCTACAAGCTAAAATCGTCATCATACATACCAAATCAATGGACATTAAATCGAGGATATCAAACACCTGAAGGCATCTTTCCAGATCGTGCTGCCTATGGGAATTCTTTTAAGCTTCTCATGTCCATTAATGAATCAAATACTGATCTCTGTAAGGAACGTCGTGAAGGGTTTAAAGTTACATACCACTTACCTAATGAGATTCCGACAGTCTTTCATGATCATGACTATATTGGATTTCAAAGGAAACTCATTGTCGAAATAAAACCACAAGTTTATTCAGTGGATCCAACATTACAAAAATTCTCAGTTGATAAACGTAAATGCTATTTTGATGGAGAACGCAAGCTGAAATTTTTCAAAGCTTACACAAAAGTTCAATGCAATTTGGAATGTCTAACAAACTATACGCTGCATACTTGTGGATGTGTGCAGTTCTCAATGCCACGTACACAAAACACACCTATTTGTGATATAGACATGATGAAATGCTTTCAAAATGCAGCTAGGAATTGGCCAAAAAATGATCCTATGTCAAATAATTCGATTGCCCCTTGTGAATGCTTTCCGCCATGCCGGGACATTCGTTATGAAATTGCAGGTAAAACACATGATCTGAGTGAGAAGAATTCGTTGACTTTAAAGCATTATCAGATAGGGTGAGCGTGCTGGAGATAAAATTATTTGATTTTAGTTGATAATTATTTTTATTGTCAGGAACAACACCCCTAAGCTATTCTCGTTGATTCATATAAAGTACTCTAAATTTCAAGTTGAAGAAATGGAAAGTTTTGTGGTCTACAAACTTCAAAATTGTAAGAAAACTCAAGTTTTATAAATTATTTTTTTGTTTTGAAGACTTTTTTAGTTGTTGCTGAATGCGGAGGGCTTCTTGGTCTATTTATGGGAATATCCTTCATGTCAATTATTCAGATGATCATAAAAGCTATTGAAAGGATCATTACAAAAGATAATGAAGAATTTAATAAGGAAGACATAACTGAAAAAGAAAAGAATGTTTTAAGTCCTGAAAGATCTAAAAGGTTTGTATTTAGGAGAGGAACTGATTATGATGATTTGAATTTGGCTTCTCAGGTCTGAATATTATCTACTTGTTCTTACAATTTCTTATTTTCAGCAAATATGAATACAATTTGTCGCATGGAATGAGAATGATTAAACCAGCAGCAAAAAATCAGTCATCCATCTATATTACTCCATATTCAGTTGCTAAGTTCACGCCAGTACAAATATATGGACAGGCGGGTTCAAAAGTATCAAGCTACAGCAATTGATAGATATTGTTTAAAAGAAAGACAAATCTTTAAAGCAGCAAGATATGTCAAGAGAATATAAAAGAATTGGTTTTCATAACTCAGTTATTTTTGTGAATTTCTATGCTTTTAATAAATTAGAAATTGAAAAGAATTGTGAACGAATCTATGAATGATTTCAGAAATGGCAAAAAATCAAAAGTTTTAAAAGATTCTTGAACATTATTCCAAAATTTAAATTAAAAGTTGTCAGATTTCCTTAAACAATTCAGAACAATTGCTAATTTTCGACGAGTTCTTCATACTTGAATTCAAGAAAATTTCCTAGATTTTCAATGAAGCAAGAACAAGACAAAGTTCAATCACAAAAAGACAAACAGAAACACAAAAAGTAGCTTAATTGATTTCATGTTGCACCTCAGAGAATTCAATAAACAGAAGAATTCTATGTCGTTAAACAAGATGAAGTCGAAAGTATTTATATATAAAATGTGTTGCATGTGTGGCATTTGAAATTCGCTTGAGGGGATGTCAAGATGACAAACAGAAGATATTTTAGAGACTTTTTTTTTTGGGTCCATCAAGTTACAAAATTTAGACAATACATGAAAAAGTTTAATTCCATCCGCTTATTCGTATGAGGTTAATTTTGATGAGTTACCAATTTTCAATTTATAAAACCAAGTGCAAAATAGTCGGTGATCCTGCATCTTAAATTTTACTAATGACAACCTAATTAATAGAAATAAGTTCTACAAAAACCATAATATCTTGAAACTTCACGCTTAATTTCATCAACCTTGAAAACTTTCAATAAATCTTGGCATTTAAAATTTTTTAAAAACATTGAATCCCCACGCCATAGCCTATGCGACCAAAACAACATCCCCATTGCCAGAATAAAAATCGTTCACATTGAGCATATCGGAAAATGATTAAATGATTGCACACATCTCACATTCAACAATATGAAATTGGCAATATGTAGTTGGAAGATTGAGAGCTTAATGCGTTTTTGATTTGTCACGTACACCCTTTTTTTGCCGTTGATGCTGCTCAATTCAACCGTTTCGTTATTCAATTTCATCCAGAAGATTTGATTTCTTCACAATATGTGTGCATGACTTCATTAGAATCGACTTAAAAGCAGAGGGCGAAGTCGACTCGAAATTTGTATGAAGTCGAGTGAACTCAAGTCGACTTTTCCATACAAAATCCGAGTCGACTTCGCCCTCTGCTTAAAAGTCAATGGATTGAGTCGGCGGAAGGTCGAATGTGAATTTGAATATTTGAGAATAGATTGATCCAAGAGCAACGCTAAAGACGCTCATTATTTATTAAAAAGTCAGAAGGAGAATTTTGTGCTAGGTGGATGTAAAGGTAAGTCACAAACTGAGAGAATTGTATACAAGGAAAAGCGACTTGATGCTCAAACGAAGAAAAAAATTGGGACATGCGTGAATAAATCGTGTAATGATTTCTCTTTACATTTCTTTTGCAGATTCCTTGATGCTGTTGCTTACAATATTATCGTAAGGAGCAAAAGTTACAGATGAAAAAAATATTTTATTTTGAGCAGGAAAAAAATTGCTTTTCTCTTGCACAGTCGCAATGTAAATGACGATGGATTTAAATAATTTATAATATTGAATTATTGAGGCTCATCTGATGGTGGACATTGGCAGGGTCTTCCTGGAAATAAACAAGAAACTGCCATTATTTATTTATCAGAATTTTCAAATTATCAAAAATTCCAAGACACAAAAAATCAGCTAGCAAATCTCTCCGGCATATGTTACAACCAACAAGTGTTGCTGATTCTTCTCATAAATTTTCATCTACAAATGAAAAAAATCTAGTACATTGACCTTCATCCTTTGTGTCTCTCCTCTCTAATTCCAACATTTTTTCGTTCCTCTCGCAGAAGTGAAATTCTCTCAAACTCCAACATATTACTGCTCTCGTACTCACTTCCTTTTTTTTTGTGTATATCTTTCAATTCCTTTATAAGTAGAATAAAAAGTCCTTGAACTTTCCTATTTGAGAAGTGTAGAAATAGGGAAATTATATTTATTAAATTTTGTGAGTCTTTTTCTGCTTTCCTCTTCTTCCTTTCCACACCGCCAATGATAAATTTCATTAAAGATGAAAAGAAGTTGGAATTTCATTTTTTGCTATCATGTAGTAGGGTTGTTTATATGGCGCATCCTACATACTGTTTTTGGAAGGCTTTAAGAATTTTGTGTATCTGATGTTATTTTTGTTTACAGCCCACACAGGAAATTCTGTTTTGTTTATTTTGCTTTAAATTTAAGAATGTTTGAGATTTGAGCAAATTTTATGATTCTTATGAATTTGCATGCATAAAATATACAGCCTAGAAACATGAATTCTTAGGTTATTAACATTATGAAGCATCAGTAGCGTAGAAATGAACCATGGAATTAGGTATCTTCTTATGCTACGCCCCTGTAGTAGCCAGGAATTTGAAGAGAGGGGAAAAAAATTTTGTATGGAAAACTTTTAGTGGGGGGTGGGGGGGTTATTTTTTCGAGTTTTTCATAAAAACTCTAGCAAAATGAAGAAATTTCTCAAGACGAAAGGGGATTTGTCCCCGAAATCCCCCCCCCCCCCCCCTGGCTACGCGCCTGTCTTGTTACAACTTGGTTGCAAAGTTCTTGGTTTTCAGAACTAAATCCAAACTTTGGCACACCTTCAAATGTCGGAATTTCAAATTTAACTTTCATTCTTTTATAAAAGATTTTGAGGCTATTACTTATTAGATTAGTAAGGGGAAGATTTTTGGAATCTTGGATGTTTTATCTTAGCAACGAGGGCTTTAATCGCCACTTCCGAGATAATTTCTTAAAACATTTTCAAGCCTGATATTTCGAAAAAGATTAAAATTTTCCTTAAAAAGGTATCATCAAAATCCAAAGCGAATCTGAAAAATAGGCATGACGTAAAGAAGCTTAGACATCTGTCTAGAACACTCCTAAAATCCTTGCCATCCCCTAAATCGATCCATGATGATGGATTTCAATAAAAGAGTCATGTAGAGTAAGTTAAACGCAGAAGTGTGACTTACAGAGCGAAGAGAACCATTGACATGATAAAAGTCTGATGACAAGCTTAAAATCATTTTATTACCTGAAAAAAGAGACAAACTGCTCAACTTACTACACAAAACCATTCCAAAAATGTTCTAAAAGTCTAAAGCGAAGCCAACGACGATAATGAAATTTTATTGATCCTAAAATGTGCTTGAGGTTAGAGGTGAGAAGTAAAAATTACAACAATATATACATCATGATAAAATGTCATATGGCAGTGACGGAATTACCATAATTTTATTACAGAACATAAGCAACAAATATAAAGCGAAAAGGTTTAAAAAATTTATTCTTGAACTTCTTCCTCGGCAATATCTTCGCTATCAAAAAGACCATCATCATCAACTGTTGCTTCTTGATATTGTTGATATTCAGATATCAAATCGTTCATGTTACTTTCAGCTTCTGTGAATTCCATTTCGTCCATACCTTCGCCAGTATACCAATGGAGGAAAGCTTTACGACGGAACATGACCGTGAATTGTTCGGAAATGCGCTTGAAAATTTCTTGAATGGCTGTTGTATTGCCAATGAATGTTGCAGACATTTTCAAGCCACGTGGTGGAATATCGCAGACAGCAACTTTAACATTGTTTGGAATCCACTCGACGAAATAACTGCTGTTCTTATTTTGGACACCTAACATCTGTTCATCGACTTCCTTCATTGACATTGGGCCACGGAAAATTGCGGCTACTGTCAAATAACGTCCATGTCTAGGATCACATGCTGTCATCATGTTTTTAGAATCAAACATTTGCTGTGTCAATTCACTGACTGTCATTGCCCGATATTGTTGACAGCTCTTAGCTGTAAGTGGTGCAAAGCCAGGCATGAAGAAATGAAGACGTGGAAATGGAACCATATTTACGGCAAGCTTCCTCAAATCAGCATTTAATTGACCTGGAAATCTCAAACATGTCGTTACGCCTGACATGGTGACCTAAAACAGGAGAAAAAGATTTGTTGGGAATGAAAAAAAAAGTTCAAATTTCAAAGGGAAAAAAGTTTTTCAAGCTCTTCAACTTTTTTTTTCGTCTGATTTTTCAAATTCAATAAAAAGTCACTTTGGAAATGGAAAACAAACATTTGAAATTGTGCTTGTAAAAGTTTCTGTTTCAAATTGCTATGAAAAGGTAAGTTAGGAATTTTCTTAGGATTTTAGGGAAAGACGCTTAGAAGAGGAACTATGGAAGAGAATATAGGGATCCTTGAACGATAGTTCCTCTTAAGCCAAACCTTTAATCCTTAAATAACCCTATCTTTAGGGTTATAAGTTGTTGATGAATCAACTCTAAGACTTATTATCAACCAGACAAAATGTTCAAAACTAGCATCACTTCTAAATCCTTTACCATCCCCAAAACAATTTTTTTAAATAGCATATATACATACCGAAACCAAATGATTCAGGTCACCATATGATGGAGACGTAAGTTTCAATGTACGGAAACAAATATCGTAAAGTGCTTCATTGTCAATACAGAAAGTTTCGTCTGTATTCTCGACCAATTGATGAACAGACAACGTGGCATTGTATGGTTCAACGACTGCATCTGATACTTTTGGTGATGGAATGACGGAAAATGAATTCATAATACGATCTGGATATTCTTCACGAATTTTCGCAATCAAGAGTGTTCCCATTCCACTTCCAGTACCGCCACCCAGAGAATGAGTCATTTGAAATCCTTGAATACAATCACATCCTTCAGCTTCCTTACGAATCACATCAAGTACGGACTCGACAAGTTCAGCACCTTCTGTATAATGACCCTTAGCCCAGTTGTTGCCAGCTCCTGATTGTCCAAAAACAAAGTTATCTGGACGGAACAAGCGACCATAAGGTGACTGTCTTACTGCATCCATAGTGCCAGGTTCCAAATCTACTAGTACTGCACGTGGAACATATCGATTACCATTGGCTTCATTAAAGTAAACGTTAATTCTTTCCAATTGAAGGTCGGTATCTCCATGATAATTTCCATTTGGATCAATTCCATGTTCATCAGCTATGATCTCCCAGAACTGTAATGGAAAAAATAAGAAAGGAAATGAAATTAAAGAATTTTTTTATGTTAAAAGTTTTCTGCTTATTTTTCTAATTTTCTTTTATGTCATCCGAGAAAAATAAATATTTTTGTCAAGATTGGGGGTGCTTCCATAAACACAAAATGAAATTATGAATGATAGGCTGATAAGCAAATGGCATGAAAATTTTTTATTCATTTCTTATCAATCAAATTTTCGAAGAAAAATTTATTTTTTGATGAGTTTTTTTTTTATGAAGTTTTGAGGAAGTGAAAATGAAAGCGACGATGAAATTAGGTTTGTTTGATTTGTAAATGTTTGTTCTACAAATATGTGTTTAAATCAATTTAACATGGATGAGGTGCGCTTGAAATGTTTGAAAAATGAATTTTTGAATTTTTTTTCAAGAGTTGATGAGAAATGTTTGAATTTAATGGATGTAAGTCATTAATTAATCGTCTATTAAATCTTTCAAGTTGAAGATGAAGATAAACTTTTCAGGTTTTTAGAATTTGTTAGGAGGTAATTAGTAAATAACAGAACTGATGACTGATGTAATGTGCGAATGAGAAAATGTATGTTAAGAATATTCGGTGTTTGAAAATAATAAGCAGTTTAGTGACTCTGCGCTTTAATCGACAATGTTCATGACTCAAATTTGATTTGATTACTCGAAGGTTGTTGGTTTGAATCCTGCTTTTCAGAAGTTTATATAGTTTGCTGATTAATGTACGAGACCAAGATAAAGTTTGAGGTTTTGGTTAACGTTTGATTTTGGAAAGGTTCAGAAACATTTCAATGTGACGAGTAAGATAGTTCGAATAACTTTGATATTCAGGATTAGACTTGTTGTGCCCTACTTTACAGTGATAACCTATTTTTGTTTTTTCCGAGGATTAAGTTCACTACAAAATTTTTATATACTTGGATTAAACGTTTACTAGCTAAGCTGACCATGTTGCGGGATAAAATAATTCTTTATCGAAATTTAGATAACAGAAGTAATCCACTGACATGCTTGAGAAATCAAACCTTTATAGAAATTGACGAATAACTCATTGAACAAATGTTATATTTCTAATAATTCGATCATGACTAAACTTATCACTTAAATAAACTTTTTTTACGAACAAAAATGAATCATTAAATCGTAAATTGCCTTATTCAGCACCTGACTGAACTCCAAATACGACCTTGAATTTATTTTCAATTTTAATGAAGTACTTTTGCTTTTTTATCAAAATTCCCCAAAACTTGAGCAAAAAAGCACAATTTTAAATCAAAACATTTTTCTTTATTTTGTAAATTGCACATGCTACACATCTTTGCCTTATCAGACTATGATAAGGTACAGCTTAAAATGTCATAAACAGAGACTTACTTTCAATTGTGTATCTCACCAATTTTGTTCTTTTATTGAATTTAATAATTTAATTTTTAAATTTGCTTTAGTGGGAATTGAACTTTGGATTTTTGAGGGTTTTTGACAGAATTTGAGCTTATTTAAGTTGAGTCAAAGTTCTAGTGACACTTTCGAATCATTTGAAATTTGATATAGCTTGAAAATAAGCAAGCAATCTTCAAATCATGTGATACCTCAAACCCTTACCCACAGCATGAGCAGTCAACCAAAAAACCTTCAACAACTTCTCATTCGACACTTTTCCTAACTCAACTCAACAATTCCAATTTAAAACAAGCACGACAACAAACAAAGTTCTCGATAAACATTCGATATACATTTGTCTAAAATTGCTGTTTATTTTAAAGCACAAACATCATCATTATCATTATTTCATGATTTCATTTTCTTCTTTTAACCAAAAATTCTGTTTCACATTTTCCTCAATTCACCGCATACATACATTGTTGCTACATACAGCCAAATGAACAAATATTTGAAAACTTTTTCTCCTTCTTACACTTAAATTGCTCCGACAATATTCATTTTTACAATATCAAATAAATGTAAATGGCAAAAAAAGTTTTGCTTTTTTTATTCTCTTGCCTATTTTCCCATTTCGCAATTTCGCTTTACTTCTTCTTAGCTTCATTCAGTCTATGTGTATGACATAAAATATTCTTTATTGTGAGGGAGGTAGGAAGGAGACACACACACAAGAGCTAGTAAAAGGCGTCAGACAAATCGATTTTCAAAAAATGTTCCTTTAAAGTATAAAGGCATAAAAAAACTTTCACCGACCGGCTTCTTTCAACAGTCAGTCAGTCCTTTACAATAACAAAAATAATCGATTTTAATTTTCTTCTAAATAAAGAATTTATTTGCTGCTCTGCGTCTAAGTACAAAGTTTGGCAAATTGGAAAGAAGAAACGACGGAAAAATCGTGCCAGATTTGAGACTTTTTGTTCATTTCCTAAAAAAATAAATCACATTCAATGACTTTGAACTTTCAGAGTTGGAGGTTTTTTGGCAGCTTGCTGGTTATGAGTTTCATTTTATGGATTGAATCGTTTAAGCGCATGTTACAAATACATGCTGCATTCTGTGATCGGTTTTTTGGGTACCGCTTTCCAGAGTCATATCCATAAATTAATCTATATTCAGCTTTTTAATGTGAATATGTGAATTATAATAAGTGTACCGAAAAATATATAAAATCAATTAAGGAGATGATTGTTTGGCATGAAGTATTATGTTAGGTCAGGAGCGCAGTCAGGAAAGGAACATCGAGAAATTGATGAATCTGGAAGTTGAGTGATAAATGCTTGAACCTTCTGCAATCAACCTTTATTCGTCATCACCAGAACTGTAAATCTAATTCAAGATAAATAGCCAACAACCAACCGTTTGGCATACGTGAAGATTAGATAAGCTTGAAATGTGTAATAAGACTATTTTGCTCTCACTATACATGTATGTCGGACACCTAAACCAAACTGTTTTATAGCTACTTAAGTCACAATGGATCCTACAATTTAGTTTCTTAACTAAGACTGTGGAATCAAAGCAAAGCCTATCCTAGTAAGTATAAGGCTCCATTTGAAAGCCATATTAAGTTTTGAGCTTATGTAGACTAAGCACCCTTCAAGATTCATTACCTAGCTGTCTACAGAGATGGATTCGTACCACTTTAGATCATTCAGTCAACGTCGTTATGAAAATAATTCGAGAAAGGGGGAAAGGAACAAATTTCCACCCAATCAACCCCCTGGCTACGCCTCGGCATCCATAAATACATGCAAAAAAATATGCAGCCTTCTAGAACAGAAAAGAATCAACAATAAAGAAGAAATGAGTTCGGATATCGATTTTATTATCTCGTAATCTAAAGCATGAAGAATAATTCATTTTCTGGTCAATTATTTTCATGAGTCATTCAGATTTTGAAAATTCCCTAATAATTTTTACAGCCTTTATACAGCCGTATACAGGTATTTGATAAACGCTGAAACCCTGATAAAGCTTTGAGATATTAATAAACCTTTTATGACTATTATAACGTGAATAAAAATAGTACGACAACTTTTTTTTGGATGGAAAAAAAGTTCTAGAAGTTTTGGATGATTAGCTTCGTTTTTATTAGTACATGGCGATTCATAGGGTTTTGCTCATTTTAAGGCGAAGTTAATGATTCAATTCTTTTAAAACTTAGTCAAGCATTTCAAAAACAAAAAATTTAAGCTCATAACGCTGGCAAGTCAAGAGAGAAATAAACAAGAAAACATGGGCGAGAGAATCGTAACGAAGAAAAAACACGAGAAACTCGCAAAATTTGCCGGCAAATCATCAATTTTCTGCTACTTTTAAGAGTCATACATTTTACTCACTTTACACACACAACCGTTGATTTTCACACCTATAAAGCAGCAGAACATGTGATAACAGAAACATATATTCACATTATAAGGCTTCACATTACATAGACTGCTAGTGTTTGTTTTAATGTACGACTATTATCACAAATGTATTAAGTAGTATGACTTCATTCTCTCTATGCGGCTATTTTATGTGTCTAATTTTAGACTCATAAGTTCATTTCCATATTGAAAAAATAATTTATGAGACACACAAAAAAAAGAGAAGAAATCATGTGAAAACCACATTTATATGGCAAAGGAACAAGCACATTCAAATGTCTACGAATAACCATAATTGTACGCACCTTTGATCCAATTTGATTACCACATTGACCGACTTGTAAATGCACAATTTCTCTCATTTTCACTGCTTATTCAAATTTAATTTAAATTCACAAATTATTGATTACACAATCGATTAAGCACTAAGCACAACAACACAACTAAAATACTGATATGATAACAAAACACACTCTCTTTATTGGAACCGGCGTTTGTTGTGGAATGCCAACAGTCACTTTCAACAGCTTTTGTAGAACTGAACCAAATAGGCTGACGATTCTCTCTTCAAATATGAAATTGTATGTATATGATTGAGAATGGAATATAGATTTATATTTTCCTACACGCGTGGAAGTTACTAATTAGAGTAAGTAATTATTTGAAGTTGTATGTATTAAATTTTAGACGAAAAAGATAAGCAAACTTGTGAACGTCAAAGATCCTGTGGAACTGAGTTGTTTTAAAATTTTCGAGGTCAGGAAAAATCGATGAGAAGGTTTTGGAGCCTGCGTACATCATATTTGTTCTGATATCGTACCATCGTAGTCATATAAGAGATGAGACAGGGGGAACCCAGTTTTGAACCTAATTTTCCCAAATAAAGCATAAATTGAATGAAATGCAAAATAAGAAAATGAAAAAAATTGCGAACCTGATAAAAAAAATTCCTAGCTGTACCTCTGTGGTCACGCAAAAAAGTGGTGATTCATACAGGAAATTTTTAGTTTGGATGACGTCACAGCACCATGGGTATGTTAGATGAATCATAATTCATTGACCTATATAATTATAATAAATCTATTGATTTTCCTTAAAGGTCGTTGACCTGAGCTGCAATGAGATTCAAACTGACAAGATAATGTTGCGATGAAGCGCTGTTACTGAATGTATCTGTCCACATGGTAGCCATGCAATTATCATTGCTATGTAATTAACGAATTGGTGCACTAGTAGTCGCATGGGGAAAAATCATAGATTTGAAAGCCTTTGCATGAAATTTGGCGCACCTGCAAAATATTTTTGGCTCATTTTTGTATGGAACTTCAGATCATTTTTGATGGCGTCAAGATGCTTGAGTCTCACTTGCTATTGTCTTGCTTAGCAACATGATTAACATCGCAAGTTCATGTTTCTAAAATTGTATGATAAATCTAATAAGAAGCTAGTTCAAAGAAAATCAATAATTCAAGGAGGAAACGCCCTAGCATAAAATTTTTGAAACTCCAGAAGTTTCTAAACCTAGAGCCTCACAGGCTAGACAAAATCATCATCGCATAAGTTCCAATTAACCTAAATATTTCCATCACTTGAATTCAATAAATAATAGTCTGACTGCTTGATAACTCAATATTGTTTAAAACTTATCAAATTTCTTTGCATGTGTTGGTTCAAAACTCACATCAACCGTTTTTTTTTTCTCCGAAAAATGAGAGAATGTCTATAAATATTTTTCAATTTTCATGCCTTTCTTCTTTTTCACCAAACACCGAAGAAAAATGAGGAAGTAGGAAAAGTCTGAGTTGCATTTCATGATCGAATTGAGTCAGACTAACATACTTTTACAAATAGAATGTTCAAATGCTCTCATGCATGTATGTGTTTGAGTTGCGAATGTAATCATTAATCGGCATTTTTATGTCATCTCTTTCAACGGCCTTTTTAGTTATTACAGACCGGTGCTTTTTTTTTGATGATAACGAAATTAAACTAGTTTGTATAATTTTTTTTGGAGATATTTTCGGTTGGCTGTGTGCGAATTGGAATTTGAATGGTGATCTTATGGATGTTTATGAAGAGTAGTATTTCATTTAACATATTTTAATTACTGTTGTTAGGAATGTTTGATCAACAGATTTTTTTTGAAGGTTTGGATTATTTCAGGTATGTAATTCAATATAAATGTAACAGTTTAGGTCAACTCATGAAAAATATTTTACTATTGGAAGGTTGCCAGAGGGATACATGGCATTCTGAACCCCATGGATAATGAAATTTGTACTCAACCCTCCCCCGTAACTTCAAGGCCCCTTCAATGAACCCCATGAGTTGTTCCCTTCAATAATGGTTTAGTAATGCTGATGCAAATCATTCTTAACGAAGAGCCGCTCTAGTAAAACATAGCCAATAGTACTTAGTAAAATTTAAATATTTGTAAAATCTACTGCAATAACTGATGTGTAAAATATGCTTAAATAAATTTAATGCAGCACATCGACCATGGAAAATTGCAAATATCAAATATTTCAATTTTTTATTGCATTCTCGTTTAATTAAAATGTATAAAAAATTTTAATAATTTTTTTTATTCTGCCAATAGCCACAAGCTATCTTTTCATTCACCGTCATCATCACAACAGCAAACTCTCCGGTAAAAATTACATTATCAGTATTAAATGTTATTTTTATTTTGTACTAAATATATTTTTATGTGTGTACACAACGCAAGTCTTAATTGAATTTTTTTTTCTCTCTTCCCCCCAAAAAAAATATATCGCGACTTTCGTGGGCGTGAAGTACGGCCGAGACCCATATCGACATAGTTCAAAAGTTATACCTAATTTATGTCATAATTATGTCAGCTACAAAAACACTTAGTTTGAATTTTCTCACCCTCGGGAACACTATGAACTAGTACAGCTGATTTTGGTCCAAATCTCGGCCATACTTCACACTTATTTGAACCACATTTTCTCGTAAATGTTAAAATATTATTAAAAAGTAATTAATCCTGAATTATGTCGCTATTTTGTCAAGTGTTTTAAGAAAAAGAATTTGTTTTTTGGTTTCCACGAACAAAAGAAGAGTATGAACAAAATTCTGATGGGGTAGTCGAAATTTTAGTTTTCGATTTTTTTTAAGCTATGCATTACAAAAAGTAATATTGGTATGTGATTTATGCCAAAATTGTGTCAATTCAAATAAAACATCCAAAAAAATTTTTTGACCAAAGTACACCATTGAAAATCAATTTTCAATTTTGGACTAGGGGCGACCCTAGTCAAAATCAATTTTGTCACTTTTTTCTTTGAGTGTTTATCCAAATGGATTGAAACTTTGCATAAATATTTCAATGCTTAAAACAAATACAAATAAAACATCCTAAAATTTTTTTGAGCAAAGAACCAAGAAGGAAATATATTTTCAATTTTGAACTAGGGGCGACCCTAGTCAAAATCAATTTTGTCACTTTTTTCTTTGAGGGTTTATCCAAATGGATTGAAACTTTGCATTAATATTCTAATGCTTAAAACAAATACAAATAAAACATCCTAAAATTTTTTTGAGCAAAGAACCAAGTAGGAAATACATCTTCAATTTTGGACTAGGGGCGACCCTAGTCAAAATCAATTTTGTCACTTTTTTCTTTGAGGGTTTATCCAAATGGATTCAATGCTTAAAACAAAAACAAATAAAACATCCTAAAATTTTTTTGAGCAAAGAACCAAGAAGGAAATATATTTTCAATTTTGGACTAGGGGCGACCCTAGATTTTTTTGAGCAAAGAACCAGAAGGAAATACATTTTCAATTTTGGACTAGGGGCGACCCTAGTCAAAATCAATTTTGTCACTTTTTTCTTTGAGGGTTTATCCAAATGGATTGAAACTTTGCATTAATATTTCAATGCTTAAAACAAATACAAATAAAACATCCTAGAATTTTTTTAAGCAAAGAACCAAGTAGGAAATACATTTTCAATTTTGGACTAGGGGCGATCCTAGTCAAAATTAATTTTGTCATTTTTTATCTTCGAGGGTTTATCCAAATGGATTGAAACTATATATAATTCATTTGGATAAACACTCGATGAAAAAAGTGACAAAATTGATTTTGACTAGGGTCGCCCCTAGTCCAAAATTGAAAATTGATTTTCTATGGTGAACTTTGGTCAAAAAATTTTTTGGATGTTTTATTTGAATTGGCATAATTCTGACATAAATCACATACCGATATTGCTTTTTGTAATGCATAGCTTAAAAAAATCGAAAGGTAAAATTTCGACTACCCCATCTGAATTTTGTTCATACTCTTCACTGTGGAAACCAAAAAACAAATTCTCTATCTTAAAACACTTAACAAAATAGCGACATAATTCAGGATTAATTACTTTTTAATAATATTTTAACATTTACGAGAAAATGTGGTTCAAATAAGTGTGAAGTATGGCCGAGATTTGGACCAAAATGAGCTATACTGGTTCATAGTGTTCCCGAGGGTGACAAAATTCAAACTAAGTGTTTTTGTAGCTGACATAATTATGACATAAATTAGGTATAACTTTTGAACTATGTCGATATGGGTCTCGGCCGTACTTCACGCCCACGCGACTTTCCCCTCTTGTTTTTTCATATTTTTTATTCAACATTGTTCGTATGTGTCCCTTACAAAAGGTCTATCTACCATCTACATATATACGTCTATAAATTTTTTTAATTATTTTTCAACATCGCATGGCATTGCAACGAAATTATCTCAATTGTGGCTTTTGTACATCAGCGTGAAAGTTTTTTTTTGTGTACGGATAGGGGGAGTGTGGAAAAGTTTGGTAGATGGTAGGAAAATGGGCAATTGAAAGGGTTGCAGTGCACAAAGCGCATTCTTACCTCATTTACTGGATTTGTGATGGAAGGTTCATTTCTATTTTTGATTAAATCTGATCAGGAGATCATTAAAATATATCTGGACGCAATATTTTTTCAACAAGTCCCTCTCAAATGCCAAATCAATAAAGAATCCTCACCATTTATCACAAAAATCAAGCTAACAATACCGCTGATGTAGGCAAAAAAAAGGAACAAACAGCAAAAGAGTAAGTTGGGAAAATGTAATTTTCAAACATTGCATGCAACAGTTTAATTTTTTATATTTTTCCCATTCTCAACAGCGCACAATTTTCCATTCTGAACAAAAAAGGATTTTTTTTTTTGCCTATCAAACACTCGTAAAAGAGTTGATACACATAAAAAAACTAAATTTTTAATGCAATTTACTGTTAAAGTTAAATTTACTGGAAAACGACAATTTCCATATCACTATGCATTATATGAGAAATTGTTTATGTGGTATGGTGTGATAGGTATTGGAGTGAGTCGAAATATTTTCTTTTTTTTAAGCTTTGTATTTTAAAATTGTTTTATTTTGTACGGCTGAATAGTAATGCAAGTTACAAGAGAAAATGTCATGAAAATTGTGACAAGGAAATTGAGTAGAAAATTTCAAAATTATCATTCGTACTTACTTACTTCGATGACCTTACAGATCAGTTGTTATCTATGGCCTCCCTCAGATGACGCCTGAAACTGGATCTATCGCTGGTTATCGATTGCTTATTTCATATACCAAATGCAACCTTTCCATGAGTTCTTTGGTCTCATGTAAGTTTATTTGATTACATTGAAAGCCTAAGTTCTAAATGTAAGGAATTATAAAGGCAGAACATGAAGATTCTTCAAACATCTGCTACTTGATGTATATTGACTTCTCACGAAAGCCATCAAAAGCCTAAAACAGAGTTGCGAACAGGTCACCTGTGACAGGTGAGAACCTTTCAATTCCTTGATAATTTGTATGGTTTTGTTAGAAAAACCTTATAAATTATCAAGGAATTGTAGGGTTCTCGCCTGTCATAGGTGCCTGTTTCGCAGCTCTGGCCTAAAATAATTTCAGCACCAGACCATAAATCTAAATTAGAAAAGTTTTTCTAATATATAAAAATAAAATCAGCACCAATAAAATTTTCATTAGCTTAATTAATGTTTTCGCAGTTTTTTGAAGGCCAATTACAGAAATCCGCCAATAAATCTTCATCTAAGCATTTAGATGTATAGAATTGCATCAGTAAATAATTCATTTTTAAAAAGCAATTAAATGGAATTCGCACGTTGAAATAAATAAATTTCCCAATGCTGTTCAGCTCAATTCGATGCAATATATTTTACTTTTGACTTGGTGGGAAAATTTTCATTCGATTATTTTAATGCAGATTCGGACTTGCATGGGTGTAGCTATAAGGGGGACAATTTAGTCCTCAAGTATTTTTGAGATTTAAATCTAGATCGATTTTTCATTCAAGAGTCAAAAATGTGAAATAAAAAAATTCAGGCTCCTTTAGGGGACCTCCTAAATGCATCCACAAATAAAAGTTGTTCACTGAAAAAAAAATAATTGAAATTAATTATTAAAATTGCTGAAAATTATTGCAACAGTAAATTATTCAATGTATCACTAGCTGGTCCGAGGAGGGATGTCGGATATTATCAGCATAATTTTTGGTTTTTAGTCATAACAGCAGAAATATTTTCCAGTAAAAACTTTTTATTAAAAACATTTGGTGCTGAAAAAAAATTTTAACAACTAACAGAACAAAAAAAATGTTTTTACCCCAATACAGACTCATCTAAATGAATATAAATGGCTCGGTAATATGTTTCGAACACATAAATTCAATCTATGCAAATTGCAAATTATACAGCTAAGCAATAAATGTTCGATATAATGAAAAAGTTTTTCCATTTTTTTATGCTGCTCACTTTTTTTTTCTTGTTACTTTTGTGAAGCTGTGGTGATTTTTTGTATTTTTGTTTGAGAAGCTGATGATGGCAGTGGAGATGATTTGAAGATTCTGTTAATTTACTTCATGTATATTGTTAGTTCTAGGGACATACTTTAGGGTTTATGAGGGTCAACCTCGCCAAAATCTTTTCAATTTGTTAGAATTCTTTGAGGAAAAAAATCTCTAAAATTTACAAAAATCGACCCACCCCCTCCCAACTATAAGCTATACCCCCCTGGATAGTTCCTTTAAATATTCTGCATGTTTTTAATTTAAATCTTCCTTTTTGTAGCTGCAAATTTTTTATTAAATATTCTTAGAAATGCTAGTTACATCCATAAAACACATCACAACTTCACAAGAGTTCATCGCTCATGCTTTCAAAAAGGAAGAAGATAAAAATGAAAGAAAAAGTTGAATTGAAAATTGAAAAAAAAATTATTTTTTTTGATGATCGAAAGTTCAACAAGCTTCATTCTGTTCAAGTTCTTCATTCTCATCAAATTCAACATCATCATCAGCTGTTGCTTCTTGATATTGCTGATATTCAGATACCAAATCGTTCATGTTACTTTCAGCTTCTGTGAATTCCATTTCGTCCATACCTTCGCCAGTGTACCAATGGAGGAAAGCTTTACGACGGAACATAGCTGTGAATTGTTCTGAAATACGTTTGAAAATTTCTTGAATGGCTGTTGAGTTGCCAATAAATGTGGCTGACATTTTCAAGCCACGTGGTGGAATATCGCAGACAGCAACCTTAACATTGTTTGGAATCCACTCGACGAAATAACTGCTGTTCTTGTTCTGTACGCCCAACATTTGCTCATCAACCTCCTTCATTGACATTTGACCACGGAAAATTGCGGCTACTGTCAAATAACGTCCATGTCTGGGATCACATGCTGTCATCATGTTTTTAGAATCAAACATTTGTTGTGTTAAATCAGCAACACTTAGAGCACGATACTGTTGACTATTTTTAGCAGTTAATGGTGCGAAGCCGGGCATGAAGAAGTGGAGACGTGGAAATGGAACCATATTAACAGCAAGCTTTCTCAAATCAGCATTCAATTGACCAGGGAAACGTAAACATGTGGTCACACCTGACATTGTTATCTGAATTGATGAAAATTGAATCGTTAGAATCGTAATTACATTACATTTTTTTCATCTCACTTCCATCTCTGTGGACGTACTGTACGTACGGTATCACATTAAATGGATATGAGCATGAATGTATAAAATAAGAAAAAAAGGAAATGAATTTTACATACCGAAACCAAATGATTCAGGTCACCATATGTTGGCGATTGAAGCTTTAGAGTACGGAAGCAAATATCGTAAAGTGCTTCATTATCAATGCAGAAAGTTTCGTCTGTATTCTCGACCAATTGATGAACAGACAAAGTGGCATTGTATGGCTCAACGACTGTATCTGAAACTTTTGGTGATGGAATTACGGAAAATGAATTCATAATACGATCTGGATATTCTTCACGAATTTTCGCAATCAAGAGTGTTCCCATTCCACTTCCAGTACCACCACCCAGAGAATGAGTCAGTTGGAAACCTTGAAGACAATCACATCCCTCTGCTTCTTTTCGAATAACGTCAAGTACTGAATCGACAAGTTCTGCTCCTTCTGTATAATGACCCTTAGCCCAGTTGTTGCCAGCTCCAGATTGTCCAAAAACAAAGTTATCTGGACGGAACAAGCGACCATAAGGTGACTGTCTTACTGCATCCATAGTGCCAGGTTCCAAATCAACAAGAACTGCACGTGGTACATAACGGTTAGCATTGACTTCATTGTAGTAGACATCAATACGTTCTAATTGTAATTCGTTATCGCCATGATAATGTCCATTTGGGTCAATTCCATGCTCATCGGAGATAATTTCCCAAAACTGCAAATAAAAAATTAATGTTGATTGATATTAGATTAAATTTTGTGGTAACAGTGTGGGGTACAAAAATATTTTAATAGATAATCCAGAATGCATGCATTCAAATGACATCAAAGCCACCAAAAAAATACTCAGCAGCACAAAGAAAATTTAATTTGTGACACAATTATTTTTTGTCGCTCGTGAATCGACGAGCAGAATGTGTCAAAAATTATGTTACATGTCAAATCTACAAATGAAAATTTTATGAAAAAAGATTGTGTGGCGTAGGCGTTAGAACATAAATGACGGGCTGTGTTGTTCTACACTCATGTGAGTAATGAATTTTGATGAATTTTAGGGAAATGTGGGAAGAGTCGCGCTTTTTTCTCAAGTGGGTGTGTTTTTAATTTATGAATGGTGTTTTGAATGGAATTTTCCATACTTTGTTTTGGTGCCTGAGTAAAGTTGGGTCGTGGGGTGTTGAATCTTATGTAGACTAAATTGCCAGTTCATTAATAAGGTCTTTATGACCGATTGGATGAGCAAGAGAGACTCTGTTGCTCTCACTTAAACAAAGGCATGGGTTTGATTCCCACCAGTGGTTCTCATTAGTATGAGAAATCGGTATATCATGAGAGTGGAACTAATGCCCTCATACAGACGAGAACCAGAGATTTCTAATATGTTGCTTAACCATTGAGCCACTGAAAACGTCCTCTTGTCCTGACAGATTTGTTTGCATATAGCTCACCCTTGTTCTAAGAGTTTGCATTAACAGTAAAATAATTGTCAACTATTCAGAGTGTAAATGTACATCATCTGATTGAATTCCCACCTTGGTTCATGACCATTAAGCATATAGTCCCCACACGACCAAAATAACAAGCAAACAAATCAAAAACAACAAAGCATTCCCCCATAAAAAAATGCTCTAAAAATTAATTTTATCATCAAAGAAATGAAAGATTGTCATAAAAGTGAATTAAATTAAATTAAACGAAGAAAAAAAAATGTTGTATATGTGAGACATGTCGCTCTAAACACAAAACCAAATACGTTCGCGTGGAATGTCAAATATTAATAAAAACCCAGAAGAATGAATGGAGAAAAAAAACTTTTATGACATGCGGAGCGATATGAAAAATTATGGAGGAAAATAAGGTGAAAAAAGTGCATTGAAGCAACAGCAATTTGAGCTCGATGATAAAAAAAGAGTCATAAGGTGACCCCAATGGGAACGGTAAATCATAAAAACCAACACGACAGCACAATGAATATACATAAATAAATTTAATTGAAGTATGGAAGCAGTTACATTAAGCAACATGAAAAAAAAATGAATATTGTAATGCAATGAACATAAAAACTATGAAGGAAGAAGATGAAAACTTAATTTAATTAAAACTGAGAAGACCGACAGTGATCATTAGAATATGTTGGTGACGAGGGGAACAAGTTTTTTTTTGTCATGTGGAATAAGAGACAGCGTTTGGTAGTTTTTGCAAGAATTTATAAAATTATTATTTGTTTTTGGCTGTAGTGGCTACCCCCGATTCCTTTGGATAATCTTCGCGACTTTTTATGACAATTTTCATTTTATAGTGAATCTAATAATTATAATAAATCTCCTCATCCTATATCCTCCTTTATGTAAGTCTTCATTACTTATTAAGACCACTAATGCATGCCTTAAAGAGAAATGCGTAAGTCCAATACAACCAGTCATTACTTTACAACATAATTGTGTTACTTTTATCATGCAATTTCTCACTTATTTCCTGAGAAAGAGTCGATTGAATAATTATCTGGTGGTGTTTCCTGTAAGCTCTTTTAAGCCATACAAGTAATGATTTCCTTCCTCAATTGTTTCATTATTTTTGATATGAGATAAATTACATTTATAGAATTTAGATGAAAGGCTATAGCTTCTTAGAAAAGTTAATATTGAATAGGTTTTGAGAAATTTTATGGCTTCAGGTAGAATTTTATGAATTTATTTTTGAAGACTATCAATTATTTATGATGTTTTTGGGTGCTGCAGATGTTTTTTTATTAATTCGGACTCTCTAGTAATTTTATTGTCTCCTCCCCGTTTCTAATAAAGAGAACAACACCTCTTTGTGGCACATGGACAAGATCATATAAAATTGAAATATATTTGACTTTAATTGATGACGACAATAAATTGCACTTATCTCAAAAATTAACATAAATCATTAATTCCGAAGCTTGACAATATAGAATAAATATATTCAACCTTGAAAGTGCTCTACAAACATATCATCAAAGACAATGTAGTAATTTTCAATCTACATGATTTATTTACTTAAAATAGCGAAAAAAAAATCACAAAAGTTTCTATAATCTGCAAGTTTGTTGCAGCAAGCAGTCATGTTTACTAACTCTATTTTGATGAAGTGATTTCACTTTATTTATGACAAAAAAAAATCTGTTCGCTCATTGTATGTCATAAAAATTAAAGTCAATTTGTATAGTCAAGCAATTCATAATATCTGCTGACAAGCTGTCTGATGTCATTTCTAATTTTTTGACCTTCAACTTTTGTTTATTTATCGTTAAAGAGATGACAATTGAGGTATTTTATATGTAGTGGGATTCTTTTCGTAGCAATATTATCAGCAAGAAGACATTGTTGTTTGAAAATTCGCATTTTGCATGAGCTTTTAGAGCTATTCAAGGTTTTTGAATTATCAAATGTACGAAAATACTTATGACTAAAAATTTGTTTTCAAGTTTTTCAGGATAGCGTGGGCTGTAAGCCTTATATGAATCAATTTTTCCAACAACAACTTTAATTATTTTAATTTGAACAACTTTTAATTTTGGAGAACTTCTAGAACTGTCTTGAACAATTTCTTTTTAAAAGCTACAATGCTAATCGATCATTAACCTAGACTTGCCCATAAAACAAATAATTTATTACATTTCGATTAACATCAAGTGAACTTTTAACAGTTATGGTCTTTAATCTTTCATGAAAAAATGTTTGTATGTCATTAATGACGATTCCCACTGTCCTCGGAATATAAGTAATAAATTGGTTTTTTGTTTGCATTCATGAACAGGTTTAAGATGACACTCAAGATTATCGATGATGCAATCAATGAGTATGAAATTTGATTCTTTGATGTGATGATTATTTAACTACTTAGAGATAAGTTTTTAATGTTTGGTGACTTATAAGATTTTACTGTTGTTTGCTGAGACTGTGATTAATAGTTTGGGGTCGATTATCAATGGTTCAATCAGAGATGTTAGCTTTAGGAAGTCCAAGGGTCAAAGCTATTTGAAGGTACTCAAACATTACAAGATCGCTTCATGTTTTCAAACTTTATAGTAAGCTCCACGCATGTTAACAATCAGGGTCAGGTGTATCCTGATACATACTTAAATATTACTTGATCTACGCCAACACAAGACTAAACAATACTGGTTTTTATTTATCAGTAATTCACTAGCAGTTAATGAGTCAACTGCCTTTGAAAAATAATAACAAGTAGACCAAGGTAAGGATCAACAGATTATTTCTCATATGCTTAATAAGGCAATATAAATAAAAGCAGAAAGACTCCAAAATTATGCGTCTTTTTCCCGAGACATTTTAAAAATAGCTTTTATTGACGTTATGATGCAATACTTAATTTGTTTTTGTTTTTTTTTTTTCGAAATATTGACTTTTTACTCCATAGACTCTCGTCAATAGATAACAGTCGATTCATTAAAGTAACTATAAATTCCTCAAAGCTAATGTCATAATTTTCATCATTCCATCATTAATGGGACTCCACGTGTCAGAACCCCTCCCTCAAAATTAAATTTGAGATTTTGAAAATTCAAAAACCCTCCAAAAATGACATTTATACAGGAAAAAAATCCCAGCTACACCCCTGCAACCATTACCAAAAGTTTTAATTAATCTTTCAAAAAAAAAAAAACACAATAAAACAATTTCTTATCAAGCGGAGAATAAAATTACGTTTGGATGTTTATCACACGTGTAAAGTCATAAAAAAATTCATTAGAAGCAAGCACACGCCCAGCTAACAAAAAAAATCTATTCATCACTACTAATTATTATTCATCGATTTAGCAAATACAAAATTTTGTGATATGGAAATTGAAAATGTTAATTAACCTATTGCCTCATTTATGACTTATTTCGTAATCTATTCTATCGGCCACGATATAAGTCGCTGTGTCAATTCTTTCTTTTTATTTATTTTCTTCCAATTTTACTCTTTTTTGCATTTTTTTATAAATTCGAAATTGTCGTAAAAGAAGTTCTTCTTATTCTTAAAACGCGCACACAAGGCAAAGAAACCGGCTAAAGAAGAGAGAGAAAAATGAGAGAACTTCTTATGCTTCATATTTTTATTTTCTCACTCATTAGTAAACACACAAAACATCACTGAGTGGTGTTTGAAAGCGATCTCCGATTTATGCATAGACGGCGAAAAGAAAGGAAGGGAAAAAAGAAGTTAAAGTAATTTTTTTTTGTTGCGACAGTGCGAAAAAAGAAGAGGAAATTGGCAAAAAAAAATATGTTTGCAGTTTTGCGGATTGACGAGGAGGAGGAACTATGAAATTGATAATTAAAGGTTATAAAGCACGTGGAGGATCATGAGATGATCTATGTAAACATAATGACTTTGATGATTTAATTCTGATGTGTGCTTCTGAGTTTTTTGAGAATTGAGGTTGTTCGAAAATGACGTCAATCTTTGAATGAGATTTTTTACAAAATAACTCTCATATGTTGCTTGATTTTCTTAGTAAGAAGTGCCAATTCAGCTCCAAATGATCCTCTACCGGTAGCTACTCAATAAATATCAACCGTCAAAACTTTATGACCATCACAAAATATCTAAACCTAAATATTTAACACTCAATCGAAGCTGCTATTAAAGGAGAAACAAAATTAGAAAATTTACTGTATTTTACTAACATTCATTGAGATATAATACCATCTCATAATGTGCATGAGTTCATTTCGAATATCTCATTCGAAAAAATCTTTGCAAGAAATAATTGTAAAGAGAAAAAAAAATGCCAGATGGTCTTTTATGGGGTGTGCTCTATCTGCACCCCTTAGATTTTGATCATTCTTGTAGTTTCCCAATTCTAGAATATGTGTCGACCTTGTGTTTATTAATCTCAATCCAGAGCAGGTGAAGGTTTTTTGAAAAGATTGTCCCTACTTTTTTTTCTAGAATTATTTTCATTTCTAAATTACTATAGTCAGAGGAAAGAACCGAATACAAGTAAGAATTGAGAATACAGTTCTCGTTCGTGAGCAGGAAAAATTCATTCTAGAACGATGTGGATATAAAAATGCTCTGACTCAACTCTATCCAAAAATTATTTTTTTCTTTGAGAATTTTTCCACCAGAACTAAACATGCTCATTGTTTTCTAGTCTTCAATTTATGGATTCGCAGTAATACAAAGTTATGTATGACATCAATAAAAATCTATTCATAGAGCTTGGATTAGAGTCATTGAAGTATTTGTGACATAATATGATAATTCTTATGCTAATTAGATTATCATATTTTGAGTTTTGAATAGAACTAAAATGCTACTTCATATGGAATTGCGTGGAATTTTCATTCATTCGTGACCTAATGAATTGATGGAAAATAATAAGTATGGAATTTAATTATGTGAAGCTGTAAGTCAATTAACTATGGCTTAATCAAAGTTTAGATCTATAAGGCAACCTAGGTGCTGGTAGGAATCCTATTTTATAAAGATTCCATTAAAATCGACCTCCTGCTATTTTGTTTTAAAATAATTCTTAAAAATAACAAAAACAAGACTAAAGTAAGAAACTATAAATTGATGAACAGGTAAAAAATTTGACAATTCTTGAAAAAAACAACAAATTATCTGTTAAAAGTTCCTCCCATCACATTTTGTCTCTCAATTAAATGATGACAACTGATTCAAGCCAACAACTGCCATTAACATCCAAAAATATCAACTAGAAAAGAAGAACTCTTTGAGGCGTTCATGCTCAGGCAGAGAAACGAAAAAAAAATATGAAAATAAGAACATTAGGCTCCGTGCCCTTAATTTAACATTCAATTTATGCTAACCGTCAAAATATGAAATGAGCTCGCTTGGTAGTCTAGACCGTAGAAGTAACTTTCTAATCAAATCTTTTGGTATGCAGAAGCTATTCATTCAAAATGAATTAATTGTGTCTGTATGTATCTGCGAAAAATAGCAATTATTTACTATCGATATGATTGACATAATCTATGATGAATGAAGTGTAAAAATAAATTGTCAGCACACTTGGCATTCAAAAAGAGAAAAAAATATATTCGCGAGTAAAACTACAAAATGGAATCTGCTGAAGATATTTTCAGTTTCATAAGCATTCATTCGATTATGACGTCCATTGCTTGTGTGGAGGGGATTCTTTAAACAACATAAAGTTACAAGGAGGGGGGTCTGAAAAATCCAATGATGACGTCATAAGTCAATGACGCTCAATTTTTCACATGATTTTTTTTTAAATCTTTCCAAATTACTGAACCCCGCCTAAAGAAATTTTTCCGCATTTTCTTCTTGTTATTTTTTATCGAGGCCAGCTAAACATTTTCTAAAACTGCACACGATTTATTTTTATTCCACATAATTCTCATTTTTTTCGTAAATGGTCATTGACCTTCCGTGTTAATTATATTTTTTTCTTCCATAAAATAATTTCTTCGAAATCAACACTATGCTACTCAAAAAAAATGCAAAAAATGGAGAATATTAAAAAAAATTCCATGGATTCATTCACGCACATCAAAAAAAAGAGTCTGTCAATAAAAACACAGACATACAGATCGTATAAGTTATGTGATGAGATGGGAAAAAATTAAAATTATGTAAGTTCATCAAATAAAAAAGATAATTACTTTCGATCCAATTTGGTTTCCACATTGACCGACTTGTAAATGCACAATTTCTCTCATGATTTCTCGACTTGGTTATCAAAAAACTGTATAAAACTTTTATATATGCTTTTATTTTTCTATTTTTAATTTGCGCACAAACACACACGATTCAACTAAGAGAAGTAAAATTATTCTGAATAATATTTTTTTTATATTTCTAAATTCACTTCCGACACGGCGACGTACTGAATATCAACTAGTCACGTTTAAAGTGATCGCTCATCTAATGAACGATGCCGATTTCAATAGAATATGTTTCAATGTGTACAGCAACCAAAAAAAAAATTTTTATATTTTCTCGCTCATGATCGTCAGCTTTAATGAGAGCGAGAGGCAGTCAGCATACACAAAAATGTGTGAATGTATATACATGTTGAGATAAACATCATCATCATCATCATTAAAAATCATTTTTATTTTATTTTATTTTTTTTCAGTCGCCTTTTGTAAGGTAATAAGCAACAGGAAAATAACGAGTAAATACTCAACGAAGTGTAAGAAGAAGAAGACATAAAAATGAGTAAATAGAGAGACATACATAAAGCCACATTCATTCACATACTCACTTATTTAAATGTCTTTTTCATTTATCTAAACATTGAATGGAATAGTCTTTTACTTTGTATACATATACACACATGCGACACTGATAATTCAGAGTTGGTAGATGACGGAAATTGATGATCATTTTACCGGTTGCCAGTGGCGCGCGATGAGAATTCTCTCTGTTTTTTGCTTTACTTTACGTTCTTAACATTCATTTGCTTCATTTTAAAATCTGAATGTTGCTCTTATTGTTCAATGACTCATCATTTACAGTTTATGAAGCTAATATTTGTGGTAAAATAATCTAAAGAATGATTAAATAATTTAAAATCTTTAGTTAAAAAGGAATGAAAGCAACAAGTAACAAATTCTCTTTATTCTAATGTTCTATTTATGAATTATATTGATTATTAAAACCATAATGTTGATGTTGAGTCCAAAAGGCAATCTACTCAAGTGATTTGTTGTGACAATAAGGCATTTCTTCTGTTCCTAGTGAAAAACTGAATGACATACTTATTTGCCGTCAATTTTTAAAGTGAGATCATCGCAATGTCCATGAACAAAAAGTCTTTAGAAAGCAAAAAAAAAATTATGTCGTGGGCGACATTTATTCACTTTATGATTCAATACCAAATAAAGCTCTAAATTTTTCTGAATCAATTAAAGGCCAATCATCCTGGCGACGCATGTATTAGACATCAGTAATCATACTTTGATCAATAAGTAGACTTCGATATCTTGATATATGATTTCTTAGGAGTTTGGTCTAATCGAGTTGATGGAATTTTGGGGGATTCAAAATTGCATCGATCTTATGAGTAACAATTAGGAATGGATAACAATGAAGCTAAACAACATTTCTATTGTTCTATTTTGATAATAACAAATAAAAAATCTTTAATTAGGTCATTAAATTTCTCAGACACAATTTCAATTAAAAAACTTTTCAACTCTGCCAACGAATGGATGTGAGCAAACACAAAAGCACTCAATGCTGATGAATTTCGAGTAATCAATGAGGTCTCGAGAAAAAAAAGACTGAAAACAAAAAAGCGATAATTGCATTGCTGTGAAAGGTATAAAAAGAATCTTGAACTCGATTCGCATTCACCATAAATTCACCATTCAATTGACCATTTATGAATTAAAGTTGGGATTTTTTTTAATGTCCATAAATGAATTTTTCGTATTAAATTTTCTCATTTTTTAATGTCTTGAGAAACTATTGATTGAATAATAGGAAAAAAATAATGAATTTACAGTGGAATGAATGAAATATGCAATGAGGTCTGACTGCACTTGTGAATGCTGAGTTGCTTTTGGTATTGAAGCTTGATATTTTATGAGAAACTCATACTCAATGGTTTTGTTGAATTAAAAATTATTTTAGACTTGGATGTTATTTGTTTTTAGCTTCAAGTAATTCATGATTTGTCTGCCTGTGTATCGATAAAGCTTTAAATTGCCTTTTAATGAAGGAATCAAAGGGCCGTTCACTTATGACGTCCGACATTTAGGGGGAAGGGTGGTCTAGGATTTTGTGACAGTTCAAACAATGGAAATTTTTTTCTATAGAATTTTTGTGACAGAGGGGGGGAGGGGGTATAAAATCAGGTTTTTGTGATGGACGTCATAAGTGAACGACCCCAAACCTACGTTCTTGAAAATACAAGGTAACAGATTTGTGATCTCATAGCAGACACAAAGACTTTATTTTCGCACTAGCAGATGAATCTATAAATATCTCGATACTCCAGACTCAACCAGCCTAGCTCAATGCTCAATAATCTAAAGTCCTTTACAATTTATCAAGCCACAAAACGTTTCAGCAAATTGAAATCATCAAAATAACAGAAAATATATATCAACACAGACCGCATTCAAAGCCTAATTCAGTCCAATAAAAAAACTATAAAAAACCCACCAAATTACAATTCTCTACAAAAAAAAATTCACACACAATTTAAAGCTTCCCCAAAATAGCAAGCAACAAGAACCCACCGAAAAATTTCCTCATTCAATTTTCCAGAAAATCTTATCACAAAATTCAGTTTAAATTTGACACACCATTAAGCATTTCACATTCACATGATAGCAATTTGCTTAAAGAAACATCAGCATAACTAGTTGCTTGCTGCTGCTTCTGCTTTACATTTTCTTCCCTTTATTGCTGATTTTTTCGCTCTTTTTACTATCTTTCTCACCAAGCAATCCATAAAGCAACGTTAAGACTTTCATTCTCGAATTTCTTGTTGTCGATGTGAAAAAAAGGAGAACACGGCAAAATGTGAATTTGATGTCACAAAATATCGTATGTTGGATGGGAAAACCACAAGCATGAAGGAAATAAAAAAAAGAAAATTGTTCGAAAGACGCAGGTGGGATTTTTTTTCTCGCGTTGCTGTTTCTGAATCATTTACCTACAATTTAAATTGTGTGTATGTCTTGTAGACGACTTGGTTTGATGATGATGGTGGGTTTTGTGCTGTTTTCTTTGTTGTTCATGCTTAACTGAAAGCTTTGAAAATTGTTTTCTTCTCATTTTCAATTTGTATTTTATTCTAGGAAGGATTTGAGGCTAGTAAGAATCTAATAAGTAAGGAATCTTAAGCAAGATTTTGAGATCAGTTCGTGTTGCAGAGATTTAGGCTGAAAAATTACTGTTTCTAGATTAGATGATGTTTTCTTGAACTCATTGGCTATGCTCATTTTGTGAGGCTTAATCTCTAAAATCGAACCAAGCCTGTGCTTTACTGCCTTAAAAATCAGAATCATTTTCAACATGCAATCCAGAAAGCTCCAACTATTCATTCAATTCATGCAAAAAGCCTCACAATAGCAAACAAGTAAGTTACATCTACATTACGACAAGATCGATATTTACTCCTCTTACATGAACTCAAAAAATACATCCATGTTCACTTACTTCCTTTCTCTTTTCTTCTTCATCATGTTCTTGCTTTTTTTTTTCTCATGAATGGAATTTCGCATCAAAACGGCTTATGCAAATGACACCATAAAAAATTGTACATTATAAACACAGTCAGGAGCATAAGTAGGCAAGCTGGTATGCATACACAATATCATGCGGTGAATACATTTGTAACATAATGTTTGGATGTTTGACTGCTGTTGGCTTCTTCCTTATTTCCCAATGGAATTTTTCTCGGTTTTTATTACATTTTCTAAAGATGCCGCCAAAGGAAATGCGGCAAAACTAGAAATAGTAATTCTATGCTAATTGAATTGTCAGCCACAACTTTTTTATGGATTTTTTCTTGCTGATTTCGCATGAAGCTTGTATGGAATAATGTCAATTGATTGGTAATTTTAGGGAAATTTAAAGTTCATGTCGTGCCTTTATTAAATTTTTTTATGAGTTGTTTGTTTCAATTATTTTGGTGCTTTGGGGGTGATGTTGGATTAAAGTTGAGATGATGTTAATAGAAATTGAATTTTGATACCAAACCACCATCTCCAAATCCATGTCCCTGCTACACACTATAAGCTGTTGATAGAGACATCATAGCACTTGACATCAAGAATTGACTAGGAGCTAGCAATAAGCAATGTCTAAGAGAGGTTCTAGATCCAAAATAATCCTTGTTGCCACAAAAGAAAGTAAGTTTGCAGTACATACCTCAATTATACATCCCTGCCAACCCCTCATATCAATTTTTATTATTATCTTGAAATATTCCACTCAATATGTATCTCAGGTCACCAAGGAGAAACTCAGCAAAAAGAAAAATAATATCGAAGAAAATCAAGAACTTTATGAATGGATGGAGATCGAGGAAATTGGATATTAAAGCAATATTACATTATTTTTTCAATTCAATATCATTTTCTATATGAATTTCCTTTCTGCAAAATTTGATTTGTAATTTGTTACAGGAAATGGATAAACAGCATTGAATGTCTTATTTTTTTTTCTTCATCCTGTTTTATGCTTTTTTAAGCAATAAAAATAAAAATACATTAAGAATCCACACAAGAGAAACTGCACACCATTAACCATTAATCCATAGATATAACAAGGTAGAAAAACTTGTAGAATGGATAAGAAACAATTACGGAAAAGATAAAAGGCCATAATAAGACACAAAAAATCTATTTAAGCCACCTTCAACCATAAATCTTAATATAAATTTATGGAAATTCTTCGTCTTCATTTTTTAAATGGAAATTCCAAGGAGACACATCAAAAAATTGAGGATGATTTTGTACAACTTTTATTGTATTTTTGAGAACTAAACGCATTTTTGAGACTGTAAAGTGAGACTCTTTGAATCATTGGATATTGAATGGGTTTGAGTAACTCATAGATATTTCCTGTACCTTATGTTTGCGCTGGGAATTTCAACTTAGTGAACATTACTCTTGGCCATATCCTAAGCCAAATTCTAGGTTCATGCCTGGGAATTTCCAAAGCCTTGGGAACCCAGCCATAAGATTAAATTGAGTTGTCTTGTTCCTGTTCATTGATAATTTAACTGATAACTCCAACTATGGCCAAAACGACTTTCCAATTCCATCAATTGCCCCAAAAAAAACTGCTTTTTAAAAAAACATAAATGTAAAGCATTAAAAGAAGAGGAAGAGAAGATATTGAGAACATAGCAAATGAAATTGATGGGAGATTCATAACTGTATATACTGTATATACATCTACCGACAGTACTTTGTGCTACTGTATATTATAATACTTACTTGTGAGTGAAATATAAAGCCCAAAAGAAAAGCTAGAGAGAGAGGAAAAAAATTTGAATACAAGAAGTGAATAAAAAAGCAATTTGAAGAAAATAAA